CGTGGTGGTTTAATTAGCTTTCTGCCCCACATTTCATCAACCCACTTCAGGTGCACTTTTCCCTTTAACTCAGCATATTTCGGCGTAAAGGCAATTCTCATTTTGCATATCAACAGCGGCCGTAAATTGATTTGCTAATGACTTGTTTACAACAATTAAACGACTCCCCGATAGCCTCCCTCCTACCATCACACATCTGCTGTAATCTATCCGGCGTACTCTCCTCCCTGTTGCTGCCCAGCTCCCAGCCCTAGCAGCACTACCGATTCCAGGAGCTGCCCGCAACAGCTTATCGCCTCGCACCAAAAACAAATTACACGATAAGCAGCTGACGCTGCTCCAGCCAGAGCGATCAAAATATTTGACAACAAACATGTGAATTACGGACAGGCAGCGGCTACCACCATCAGCCATGAGGGGCTTTCTCGCCAGCACTCATCTGCTGCTGCTCCATGCTGCAATCCGCTTAAGGTGCAGCGGACACATTGATGAACCTTCCTGCTCCCTGATTTGGCATCACCCAAATAAACACGTTGATGTAATAGATTTGTTTGTTTCGCTCTTTAAATACGACTATAGGTAGTAATGGAAACAGTTTTTCAATTTGGGGGATACCCTGAGGTAATTAAGCCTCCATTACGATTTTGTAATCGTTTTAAGAAATGTGTAAACACCGTAATCAGATGAGCAACGCGATTTGACTGTCCAATGGCATTCAAAAATGCAGCTTCGGTTGATCAAAGCAAAAAGTTCCCTGACACAGAAAAGAAGTGGCACAATGCAGCCATCGGACAGAAGGCAAACTTATACAAAACATTCATAACCAGGGTTGGACCTTGCACCACAATCAAATATATTCATATGTCTACACAACAATGTTATTCCCCGTAGTTTGGTATCCAAAGTGTTTCCTGTTTTGGATAGTGTCAGGTTTACTCCCTGCCGCGTAAATGGATAGTTTTTGGATACTTTTCTACTTGCAGATGTTTAGGCCAAGGAGGCTTGTGCATTAAAATATAGTCAATTCTGTGGATGTGTTTAAACTATTTCAATATTCTCCACAAGTTACTCCCAGCTAAAATATTTATGTTCAGGACTCCAAAATCAGATGGTAGATGCACAACTGTTTCTGTTTTTAACTTGTTTATTTAATTGTTACATTTAAGATCAGTCCAGCTCTGGCAAAAGAAATGTGATCTCTGCTAAACATATGCGAGCTGAACGTTTGGACGGCTTGGGTTTCAATTGGCCTAAAAGCAAACCAGTAAACAGAACCAAAAAAGAGAAAAACAAACATAATTCATGGAGATGATTCCCCTTATTGGATGGAAGTTTTGGGATGGAAGCAGTTTGAGATTCAGATGTAGATGTAGATGTAGATGTAGATGTACAGTTGACAGCTTAGTAGAAGGAGCGGATAAACCAAAGACCCAGCAGGGAGCTAAGGATGGCGCTTACGCTGGCCAGGCCAGTGGCTGCGGCGGCATTATGCTGAGCGCAGATTCGGGGCTGGGGCGCCGAGACATACTGGCAGAGTGTGCCAATGAAGTTGACCTGGGCCCGATCATTGACCTTCTTCTCGAATTGCTGCAAGACAATGGAACATAAATTTAGCATAGGAACAGCTCCAGGGGAGGTCTTCCACTCACCTCATTGAAGAGCACGCTGGGCACGCTGGTGAGGGGCTCCTTTAGCCGGCCGGTGGCTTCGCCTGCTTTACGCAGCAGCTGACTGCCCTCGGTGGTGTTGGCGCAGGTCTTGATGTTCTCCCAGTTGTTGATGTGGTTCTCGGTGGCACAGCGCTGGCCGGGGTAAACATTATCCGGGAAGTTCTTGCCGGCACGCATCAGGCAGTTGATAAAGTCGAGGGTGAGGGATTCCCGCGTGTACTCAATCTGGTAGGAGTTGGCCTGGATGTGCTCGATGGCGCAGGCATGCACCTTGTTGCCGTAGCACTCGTTCGGTCCATGGTGGCAGGTGAAGGTCACCTCGGAGCCCTGCGTAAAGAACTGCGGGGGCCAGAACCGATTCCGATTGTAGATGATGAGCCATTGTTCTGGATGCCACAGCACTCACCTGGGACTTGCCGAACGGCACAAATGTGAGATCCACAACATCGCGCAGCTCCCCCTTTACGGCCGGATAGAGTTGCTCCGTAATGAACTTGGCGCTGTCCGGGCACAGGGACTCGTAGTAAATGGCAACGGGCACCTGAAACGAGAGAATGGAAGTTGTTTAGGCTGCAATTTGCATTTTTCGAGAGTGCAGCAGCCCAGTGGCATGTGGCATGCAAATTCATTTGCAAATCAGTTGCGGATGACTTGGCAAATGCACAATATTATTACACTCTTTGTTTGTGGAATGCTGAGGGGGGGTGGACATGCTGTGACATGCCTCACTTGGCAGTTGACAATATTTCAGAGAGCTTTAACTGGCATTTGTTTGTGAAAGAGAAGCAGGTACATACATTTGTATGATTTTATGTATGTACATACTTACGATGAAATTAATGAAGATTTTGTGCTAAAATTATCTTCTCAACACGAAAGAACAGCTGGACAAACGCGGCAAATGGTGCCAGGCCATTATTTTACTTAACATTTATTATTAATTTCTTGATGGCAAAGGAAATTTCTTTACTAGAAAGTCTCCTCCACACAAATGTCAACATTTATGTAAATATGTATGTATTTATGTATGCACATACGTTTGTGTGTCCAATTGTATCTAAAGCTAATAGAGTGTGGACTCTAGCTGTCAGTGCTTGTTTAGATGTACAAATGTGGGTACATACATATTTACATATGTACATTCGAACGTACATATTTAAAAAGCATTTATTGGATTAGCACCTAACATGTACAAGTACCGCAAATATGTATGTTTGTTTGTCGAGTCTCCCAATTGCCGGCACTGACGACTCATTCAATTTCGATCAGTTCAAAGCAAGCAAAAGACGCTGATCCCAGCTAATGACTCTGCTCTCGGTCTTGGTCTTTCACTCTCTCTGTCTCTCTCTCTTTTGGTCTCTCTTTTCTCTGCATCAATTTAAGTGCACGCACTCCCCCCTGCCTGAGTCACAGATTTGATTCGCAAAGCAAAGCTGTTTCCGTTGGCACTGAATACAGTGGACACCAGCTAAAAGCTTTTAACAGACCCCGGAACATTTTTGCATGTTGTGTGAATCATTTTAAGTAAAACAAAAACTATAAACGCAAAGGAATTTAAAATAAAAAGTGGTTGGAGAAGCCACCAATCATGGGATCTCATTTGTAGAAAATTACTTTAAATTTTATCCAACTACACGGAGTAGTTGTTGTTGAATCTCGTGACTAAGGGCGGCAAATGGTGCGCAATAAACTTAACAATGACTTCTAAAAAATAATAAAAGTAAACCAAATTGTGTGCACACACACCATACACTGACATATGCATGTTATTATAATTTTTTGTTTTTGCTTTCCACGAACAAAGCGTCGGGTTGGAGTTGAAGCCAAAGTTATATAAATTCGCTGACACAACGCTCACTGGAAGAACCATTCTTTTTTGTTATTGTTGAAGCAACCACAACCGAAACAACTACAGCAACTTGTTGGCGGGAGGGGAGGCTTTGGGGTTGCAGTTGGTCGCCGGCGGCGCACACCGGTTCCCCGCTATGAGAAACTGGTATCGTCGCAGAAACCGGTTCGCATCACAAACAACAAACGAAAATGCCAGCAGAGCGCTGCAGAGCTCAGAGCTAACCCTCCCCCCCGCCACCACTTGGAAACCGTATAATGGAAATTATGTTGAATGATTTTCCATGGCAGGGCATGGTATTTTCCGACGAGAGCCTACAGTTCATTCAACTCCGTGCCACTTGTTGCTGCCCCAAAAAGGGTGCAGCACCAGTCTACATACATATAAGCACTATTTAAATTTGGTTTTATCCGCCATTTATGCATTTCTTCACCTAAATATTCGACCTCGTGCATTCGGTGGCGTCTTCGGCGAAGCCCTGACACGCTTATTTGTGGTTGTGCAATCTTTATTTTTGCGAGCTGATTCGTGTGACCTCGGACTAGGGCTTAAACACTTAAGGATGGGGCCAGATGAGGCCGTAGACTCACCTTTGCAGCACTGTGGACAGCGGCAACCAGGCAGCTCAGCAGCAGGAAGGCACCAATAAATTTGTGACTCATTTCTCTTTCTATTGAATTTTTCGGACACGTAACGAGCGGCGGTTCTGTTGCGAGTGATGTCTAAGCGCGTTTTGTTTGTGCTCAAAGCTTGACGACGCTAGCTAGCCTAGCCCCAAGAGCGCGACATTTCAAGCATTTCAGAAATCGATTTTTATCGAAACTTTGGTTTTGGGGTAAACATCGATTCTTGTTTTGGAAATCGAAGTTTTTTAGGAAGAATTTAAAGACATTTTATCATCTTTTTACTACAATGTACCGCGATTTTGAGTGAAGCAAAAGGTTTGGCATGGTAAAACTATGAAAGGTAAGTACACTCCGCGAGAGCTCACATTGGCAACTTACTTCTCTGATTGGCTTTAGTAATTCTAACTCTAATAATAACTTTGGGTGCTTTCGCAGCCAATTCTGTTGGTACGTTCTCATTTTATGCTAATTATGGTAAGTGGCCCCACCTTACACTGACCTACCTTGAGCCTAAGTTGCTTTTTACATGTATCGATATGACGGGCTTGAATTAGTTAGAGATGGCACGGAATTTAAATTGACTTGAATTTAAATTTAACATATTTAAGCCGGGTATCCAGCACCGCAGAAACTTGACTGAACATGATTGAACATTATAGGAACTAGAGGGCCTTTCCTACATCCGGAGTAAGCTCTGCTTCCCATAGCTTCAATCAGTCTCTTGGGTGTCTGCGGTATTTGAATTCGACACAGTCCCAATGTACAATTGTTTTCAAACTTTTTTCACCTGGGGAAATCAATCTCATGCGGCTGCAATGTTTTGCGAGCATGAAAAACCCAAAACGCGGTTCTCAATACATTCGTATATAACTTTTATAATTAATGGAATTACAAATTAACATGCACGTGGTTTCAGCTTAGTATGTTGCCCACTTCATCAGTCCCGAAACCGAAATCCCTTAGCAATCAAATCCTTGCGTGCCTCCAGAATCTCAGACTGCAGTTCCTTTGCCGCCTCGGGGCAGTCGTTGAAGGTAAATGTACGGTACAGCACAGTCCACACGGAGTATACCTAGGGTTATTGGAAAAGATGGGTGTTACTAATGCGGCGTTCTGTGAACTCCATCAACTTACGCCAAAGAGCACCAGCAGCAGGAGCGGCAGTAGCTGAATTTGCAGCAGATATTTGCTTGTGAACTGCGTTTGCACTGTGCCCAGCACCACAGAGAGGTAGGGCACTGCAAAGAGCGCGGCGTAGAAGAGCCAGCGTTGAAGATTCGTCATATTTAATAATAAATGCAATTAAACAAAAACTAAATACACGTAAACACAAAACAGGTGACCGCGGATCTATCGATAAAGTATATACCGCTTGACCCTGACAAATATACCTTCTCATTTTCAAAATATACCATTCATCTTAAATCATTTTCATCGATTTTGATATTCTGATTAAAATTACAAGGCATTTAAGACTCTCAGCACTAAAACTACAATTTTATCAAATTGACGAATTAATTCTCCACAAGAGTGGCTTGTTTGTCGGACTTTCTTTTATTGGATTGCTTACAAATTAAGTTTCAAACAAAAAAGGTCAAGTCCCGGTAAAACCGACTAACCAGTGCGGGTGCCATAGCAGTCAGCATTGACGCGGTAGCATTTTAAAGGCGAGATATCGCTACTTCTTATCGATACAGTTTGAAACTTTTCAAAATTAAACACTATTTTAATTAAACTGGGGTGGGCGTGGTCTCCGCAGCGCCCACCGTACACGGAGTATTGGCAAGCAGGTCAGCCGTGCGACAGCCAATTATCTGAAACTCGACCTCATTCCCACGCAATGTGCCGCCCACAAAGAGTTTCGGTTCGCTGCTCAGGGCCCAGAGCTCCTCCTCGCCCTTGGAATTTCGGTTGATCTTAAGGCCAGTAACGAACTTGATCTTCTGCGGATTGTAGGCCACGACCCTAAGGTCATCCGCCGTATAATTTGAGTGCTCCTTCCAGCTAATCAGAGCGCCCAAGCTGATGAGGCTGCAATACAGATTGCCAGAATTATCCATGACCTCCGATTCACACTGGATGCCCCGTGTGCCGAGTACGTGGAACTGATCCTTGACTGCGCTAGAGTTGGCAGACTGCCAAACGGTTTCATTGTTGACCAGCGACAGGGGAATGGCAAACTCATTGAAACCATTCAGAGTGTGGAAGTACAGAAATCGATCTGCAAAAGAACGACCAAAGAGCTGTCAAAGGCAGTTCTTAGAGCATCCAAAAATCAATCCTTACCTTCCACTTCGCTGGGACTCAGGCTGACCGTGAATATGCCCGCGTGCGAGTTGCTGGAACGTGCGAGACGCTCCACAGACGACGGCTTCATCGACTCGTGCTCTATGCGCCACGACTTGCCCGTGAGTGAGTCGTAGACGATGAGGCCATAGCCCCAGGCATCGGCTATGTACGCCTTGCCACCCAGGCACTTGTTGGGCGCCCCACTCTCCGCCAGATCCACCACCAGAGCTGTGAAGATCGACACGCGTGGCGTGTACGCATTGGGAGGCAAGGTATGCCGCTGCACCAGCTCATCCTTGACCAAATCGAAGGTGAGTATTTGTGGGGGACACAGCTGCAGGGAGTTCACCTGTCCCGAGTCGACAACCCAAAGACGCCAGCATTCATCGATCTGCGGAAGAGATGAATGATGGAGATGGAGAGGTACGCTTTTCACTTTACACTTACAAATGTTCTGATGGCAGAGGTAATGCCGGAGCAATTATTCGGTGGTAGGTGCCACTCCGCACTGGGATATGCCTCCAGTCGTGGATTCTCCACCAACTCGTTGTCACTGGCCAATACAGTGGCCAGGGTAAAGGGCGTTTCCAGGCTCAGCCGTGGAATGGTAAGAAAAGTGCGATGCCTGCCCTCATCTCCGTACTCAATGTCCACATCCACGGGCAGGAACTGATGGCTCGAACTGAGATTCGTCCATTGGTGCAGCGTGTGGAGTTGTTTCACGAACAATTTCTGGCACTGCACGACAGAGAGAACACCCAGGAGGAGCACTGCACTTTGGATCTTCGACATTGCAAGCAGTTGGAGAAGCAGTGGAAAAGCAGTGGGGAAGCAGTAGACAAGCAGTAGGAGTAACTGTTAGAGAGGCGCGTCCAATCCCCTCAGACGATGCGTAAAGACTGACACGCAGGTAGTTGAAGGCTCGGTAAAGGTGTTATAGCCTGTTCGTCGCTAACAGACCCTAATTGACCAAATAGGCGACGCATCGAGAGAGAGAACATAAACAAAAGGTCAGCGGCAGGTACACAAGGGTCAAGCAAACAGCCTCGCACGGGAATGGGAACGAGAATGGGAGGGAATATTTTCGAGATTTATAGACATCTTTTATGGTGGCTTACAGCAGATTGTTTACGTTTACATAGCCTAAGAGCCCACACAGCCCCGTCCCTGCAGCATGTCATCGACGTCGCAGCGCTGCACCCGATAATTGATCTCTTTGTAGTCGATGGTTCCGCCAAATACCCGCTGGAGACGGTTCGAGAGCAGCCACAGCTCCTCCCGGCCATCGCTGGGGCGTGTCACGATCTTCATGCCACTCACAAACTGCAAGGTCTTGGGGTTGAGTGCCAGCAGCTTGAGATTGGCCTTGGTGTAGGGTGTCTGTATGTTCCAGCCGAAGATGCCGATGGGTTCCAGGAAGCCGCAGAACCAGAAGCCACTCCTGCTCACGGCATGGGCTGCGCACTGAACACCTCTTCTGCCCAGAGAGACGAACTCCTCCAGCGATGAGCTGAGGCCCCGCTGCCAACGTGTGGAATTCTGCAGCACATCCAAGGGTATGGCCAGCTCCAGCTCATTGGACAGCGCATGGAAGATCAGATGGCGACGCAGGCCCAACCCTTTGGGTGTCACGGCCAGGGCGAAGGCACCGTCCAGCAGCTCAAAGCTCTCCCCGGCCACAGTGTGGGTGCCAAAACGTGCATCGGGATACGTAAACTTGTTCTCCACGCGCCAGGATTTGTTGGCCTTCACATCGTACACGACAATGGCCTTGCTGGTGGGATCGGCCATGTACACAAACGCCTCCTTGCACACACCCAGCGGTGGAGGATCCTGAATGTCCGCCAAGATGGTCACGAAGCGACTGACCTTTGCTTTGAATGTATCCTCCGGCAGACGGTAGCGGTGTATCAGCTGATTGCTGGCCAAATCAATGACCACCACTTGAGGCGCACAATGCTGCACAAACTCAATCTCCCCACTGTCCAGTATCCACATCTGGCCACAGGCATCAATGTGCACGCGGTACACGGAGGTCAGTCCATTGCAGTCACCGCCATGGGTCTTGTGCCAGTCGTAGCTGGGATATGCCTGAATCTCGCTGCCATTCTCACGCTGCACCTGGGTGACATAGCCCAGGGAGTAGGGCACACCCTGCCCGAAACGCGGCGTCGTGATGAAGTGACGCGCAGCTCCTCCCTGAGCTGAAAGAGTGATTTAACTTTATAAATGTATTTTTAAATGAATCTTTCATTGCTTACGCGGATAGTACACATCTATGTCGATGGGTATGGGACTGTCGGGATTGTAGCGACCATTTCGCAGCACCTCCTCGCGTTCCCGTTCACTGGGGAACCCGTACTGAATATTCTTCCAATCGTATACCCTCTGCAGCTCCCTGTACTGTGGGTCATGCTCGAATGCTGGCTGATGGGGCTTGGGCCTGTGAGTGAAGTACTGCGCCGTGGAGAGACTTACGAGGGCCGATAGAAGTAGAGTCAGAAAATACCTAAAATGAGTGAGAGATATCAATATTACTCGACCTTAAGTTAATGGAAAATCACAGTCTTGTCACACCATGGAAACTTGTTCAATTATTATTTATTCATGGGTATTGTAAACCTCCCAAAAGGGAGACTTTTTCTTGTTTTTATCATAGCAAACTTGTCTCAAATTCGCTTACATGTCGTCTTTCTTTTTGGTAGTTGGAACACTCAGAGATCCTTACTCAAAGGCTACTTCCATTGAACTAATTCAGCAGTTGCCGAAAAAGCCATAAAATTGCAAAATAACAAAAACAAAAGACAGTTTTGTACAGCATACTCGTTTTCAACCTGTTTTTTTAAATATATATTTTAGTTGTTTGTTTTGTTTTTTGCTCTTCTTTCTAGAGACTCATCTTTAATATGCCCTTTGGAGAGGGTACATCAATTGTGGCCTGAAGTTTGTCACACGCAAGGCACAGCTTTCTCAAGCTTGCGAAGACTTTTGGCTGCGATCTGTGATCCATTTATGGCTTTCCCGTCTGCATATTGCTCTGTTTATGCTGCCAAAATATATAAAATAAAAATTGTGCATAAAATAACCTTTCTGTATCTGCAAGCGTATTGAAAGCCTCGACCCACGCCGCTCTGAAATCTAGTTTAAAATTTAAGCTGCAACCGAATAAGGAGCATTTCCGACACAAAAGTCTAGACATAATGCCATAGACAGGCAGTATACACATTTAAATCGAAGCTGTTATCAGCTTATTAGCTAATCAAACTCATTAATAACCCATTGATCATGAATAAACCATTGAATCTTTATGGTTCATGGGGCTTTGACGATTTTGTCTGCCAGTTGTGGTGTTTCTTGCATGCAAAATACTTTGATGGAGGCGCACGCCACTCACCAATAACCGCAAACCAACCAAAAAGTGCAAAAATTAATCATCGTAACTAACAAAAACTTGTTCTGCTGTCGTTTCACGTTTCACGCCCCATTAATGTCTTAGTCGAATGCAGCAGACAGCAGAAATGGTATCAATTAAATCGCAGATTGTTGAATAAAAATCAAAATGACCGTTTGCAGAGCGGACTAAAAATGTTTATTTTTATTGTTATTGGTTATGTGATGTTTACAAATGGTTGAGCTAAATTTACATACTCACAAAATTGATCTGATTTGATATCATTCAAAGTTACGATCTGTATTTGAAAGTAAGATTTTTGTGAAATGTTTTGCAAGCTTCGATGGTGCAGAAAAGCGATAAGATAAGGCTTAGAGAGCAGAGCAGACAAGGAAACCAAAATGTTAATTATAACAAAATTAAATGTCTAACAGGAGCATGCAAATTAGATGTCAAATCTCGCTGACACTTGCAGAATTATTGATAAAATATCAGAGACGTTATTAGCTAACATCTCGTTTAAGTGTTTTGACATATTAAACTTTCGGCCAGTTTGAGCTTGAGCTTGAGCTTGAGAGTTGGTACTAATTAAATCTTTCACTATTTGTCACAAATAGTCGCTTAAACTCGCGTACACCATT